CTATCCCAGTGGTTTTATGATCGAAAGGATGCCTTTGTAAACTGATGGTCCTAGGTTTGGCCCTGAAACAGTCGTCAGGGAGTGAACCAAATAGCCCTAACTAAGACGAAACATCTCTTCATTTCTCTGCAGTTTTCAATTTGTGATCTATCTTGAAATTAATTGGATCAAGCAAACACTTGAAATTATTACTTCCGGTTGATACACTCTGCGAACCATGTGGTGATTTAAAACTAATCGGCTGTTTTCACAGCTTTGCACAAATTAGTAGCACTCAGTCTTTGAAGAGTTTTTATTTTTCGCGTTTATAAAGAAACATAGATACCAAAGTTTTGAAGTTCCATTTATAATTCTGAAGTCTTTCCAAACTTACTGGTAGCCGGTAAACTCAGCAATATCTACGGGTGTGTCTGCCGGGAGTCGAAACTGAGGCATGTGTTTGGCTAGCTTGCATTTCCCCGATGCGTTTTAAATTAGTATGAAAGTGCTTTAACAGTACTGAGTGCTATCTAAAATGGAGTCGTTTTGTTTAATCGTGAATCACAAGTAAACTTTAGTTCCATATAATCACAAGGATAAAATTCATTTTCCTTCGCCTAATGTATTTAAATGAATTAAGAGCTAAGAAGAAATAGTTAACTTCTTAACCATCTATCACTGAAGCGTTTAATTAAATAATATATATTTCAATTTTATACATTGTTCAAAGAAGCGGTGTTTTCGAAACTGAATTACATAGGTGTGACTTGCATAAAGACATGATTTTTTTTCCACAATAGCCAAACTGCCTTTCCCAATGAATGAAATAATTTGTTTTCAAAAAGTTCTCAACAACCATTCATTAGGTACTCAATTAGTAGGGTGGAGCTGTTTTTCGTTGAACCGGTTGAGATAAGCATCACTGTGTAATAATGGGTAATGAGACTGTCCCGTTGTTATTGATTCAATGCTAGACAGAATCTAATATTCTCGCTTGCTAGGTAATATTTTCAAAGATAAGCAATCCACAGTGATTAGTGATAAATTGTTTACAAAGAAAATTTAAATTAGGCGTCTGATTATCGAATCAAAAACAGTGAATGACGCATAAGTTGGTTCGAAAGATCAGAATAACATTGTGATGTCCATTCCACCTGGATACACATGACCATGTTAATTGTCGATTATCTTGGGACTGAATTTCGGTTAGTCACTCTGCATTAGTAATAAAAGTGCTTTATTACAATGCAGTGTTCACAAGTTGTGGATTGAAAGGTCTGTCAAACAATTAATATATCACGATGAAATCCTGTAACCAACCAAATCCCTACAAACCAACGCTTGAATATTAATGAGATGCTCACTAGCGACTTGCCCTATTCAGGTAGGTAGCTACCTGGGGTTCTAGTGAGAAATCGTGACCCGTAGGGTGCATCAGGTCTATTGCGAGGACAAATACTCGCCGAAGACATTGGTTAAGGTGCGCGCTATGGCGTGAATTGTCAAAGTTAGAATTCATGAACTGGCCATTGGATCGGGTCCCAGTGACCTAATGGTATACGAGCTCGCCTTGTAACCAGAAGATCCTGGGTTCGAGCCCTGTCGGTGAATGCATACTGCTGAAGAGTCCCAAACTGGGACTAAACAGCTGGTTGTCCAGTACTCCCAGGTTTTCGAATAATTCTCTAACTGATGTCAGCTCATGATGAAATCCTGTAACCAATCAAATCCGTACAAACCAACGCTTGAATTAATGCAACTGACAGTATCTAAATGGTTGAAAAAGCAGCACCTGGAATTTTAGCAATCCCTCAACAAACGAACTTTCTGAAGGTGCTTTGCAGATATATTTCTATTATCAGTAGTATTTAGACTATTTTAAAAGAAGTATTATGGTCATTGTTTTTCATGAATAGAGAGACAGATGTCCATCAAGCAGCACTTTGTCTCTTTTTAATTCATTTGATCTGTGAGATTTAACTAATCCACACAATGAGAGATCACATATCTTAGCAGACATAACTTCTTGTAGGTATTAAACAGCATTTACTTAACTTTGAAGGACATCCATGAAAGAAGAAAAACCGGGAACATCATTCAACCGCACAGTGGATTGTGACGCTGTATGCTAACAGTCAATTAATATCGCTGTCGTTAAATAAGTGGAATGGAATCCAACAGCCAATTAATCAATTAATCATATCATGTCACAGTGCGCAAAGTTATGCATTAAAATTAATCTTTCACTGTGCAAGCACGTTTTAAATAATAATCATGCATAAAATCTTGAAAAATGTTTACTTATAATGTTTTTGCGTTTACACTGTTAACTCACAGAACAATTAGGGTATATTTACATATTAGAACGTGATATATTTTTGTGGAAAGTCTAAAATCGCTGATTATGATGACAACCCTATTTTACTTACTCATTTCTACGGAGGCTTTGATTTACTTGAGCAATTCTTATCAAATTTCATGGTTTTCCAGCTTTTTAATGTCAACTTCAACGTTATTACACAGTTGTTTCGTTTTGTTAAATAAATAATTCTCAACTTTTTATGAAAAACTAATAGAATAATTTTCAGAATACAGATAAAATACGTCTTCTTATTGTGTTGTCGGAATTCATAAAGGGAACTAATTGCTTTAAAATTTTGAAGAGAAGACTCCTTTCTTGCACTATCAAGAAGCTAGATGACCTTGTAAACCTTAAGTGCAAAATTATTTCGGTACGTGAAAGACTGAAATTTTATAAATCATGTATTTCTAATCACACTTATCCAAGACATTTGTATAAAATTTTGAAATCAAGTAAGCCGCAACCAAATAATAACAACTTTATTTGCCTTTCCAAATCGCATATTGAAAAAGGAGAAGAAAATCTGCAACAATTACTGCCGTATCACACATCTGCTTCATCTGTTTTGTCGGAATTATTTTTCATATGTCACATGAAATTCATTGCCTTCTGTGCATCCCTCACTGATAAAACAAGAGCAAACGTGCGTAAGAAGCTAAACAAATCACTTAATGACAAGAAACTTTTAACTTTTTTCCCTGTCAGTCCAGAGAAATACGTTGTCAACATATCTTCTATAACACTTTCATCACAACAGGGACAAGCCTTATCACTTGGTCCAAAGTTTTGCGTTCTCCAAAAGTATTTCTCAGAACTCGAAGTACACGCACAATTTAAAAATCTATATGACCAGTTGAAGCCTCTTACTCATGTTTCTGCTGATCATCACAGTTGGTTCAAAGCAAAGTTAGTGGACACTGCTCACCGATTTTGTAATAGTCGTACATTTCAGAAAAGTATCCTAACATCTGAGCACTTTAAAGCGCTAAAAGAACTCAAACGTAATACTGACATCGTTATCCTCAGACCAGACAAAGGGTCTGGTGTAGTTATAATGGAAGAAATTGAATGCATTCTTGGAAACAATCATAAATTTATGAGAGACTCCAGTCTTGAAGATGTAAGAAATGTACAAAATATGGTGACAAATAGTCTATTAAAACTCGTAAACATGCGATTAACAGAGAGAAATTCAACTCACTATAGCCCACGCAGTCGTAATTACCACACATGTATGGTCTACCCAAAACACATAAACCTAGCATTCCTCTACATCACATAATGTCAATGTGCAGATCTCCAACCCACAAACTTGCACAGTGGTCAGTGGAAATATTAAAGCCTGTTAGAAGAAATTTCTGTAAGTTCTCAATGAAAGACACTTTTTAGTTAACTGATTGTCTTGATAACGTTGATATTAAGAACAAAAGCATGTTTTCCCTAGATTTCGAATCTTTATTTACAAATGTACCTCTTTTACAGACGGTTGACATTTTATGTGACTTCATCTCTGACAACCATTTCCTATTATCAGTACCTACATTTTACTTAAAAGACAATACTTCTTTGTACTAACAATGTCGAGTTTACATTCGAGGGCGAGCATTATATATATATATATATATATATATATGTCGTATGTCGAGAACCTAGTGGAGAAAGAAACTGGAAATGTTTATTTTTATAAAAGATATGTGGATGACATAATAGTCATTTGTGATCAACCGACAGACGCCATAGAAATCCTGAACCAGATCAACAGTATGTCGCTAAAATACGTTAAGGAGAATAATAGTTGCCTGCTGTTTTTAGATGTACTCATAACCCACCAAGAAGATGGGTCAGTAAAACGATCTGTCTACAGAAAGTAAACATGGACTGGACAGTATCTAAATTATCATAGTTTCTGTCCACTACAGTATAAAAAGGCGTTGGTTAAATGTTTGTTCAAGCGCATTCACCGTGTATGTACTGCTGATACAATTGAAGAAGAAAGACAAGATCTCACTGAAATATTGTTAGATAACAATTACCCACTGAAATTTATTAGACGTTACGGAAGTGTCAACCACAGAGCTTTACCAACCCAATCAGTTCCCAAAAAGGATGTTTACATATCCTTGCCGTTCAGAGGTGATCAGCAAAGTCTAGTCACTAGACAAAGACTCAAAGCCGCAATTAATAGAACCTGTTATGCAGCTAAACTTATCTTCATAGATAAAATGAGAACTATGCAGTCCTGTAAACCCTCACATTATCCGAACGATAGTGTCACATCTCACTGTGTTTATCAATTTATATGTATGTGTGGAGACACGTACATAGGGAGGACCTATCGGTCTCTGCAGGTCAGGGCTACAGAACACATTCCAAAATGGCTGCAACAACAAACGAAGACGCTAGATAAAATTGACCCCGGAAAAAGACATCCAACATCATCTATAGCGAAGAATATTGAAATCACTTGAGTTGTCTGTTGTCTGCCTAACTTTTTTTCAGTTGGTTTCACTTCAATGAACATATTAGACACATAAGTAACTTTTATAATTATGCAAAAGTTTCCAAGTTAATTCAGAGTGATACACATGTTTAACTGAAGAAAGTAAACCGAACTTCAGCATTTATAAGTGAATCTAAACATAAAAGTGTAAGAACTTACCCACGCATTGGTGAGCTGAGAGTGGTGCATGCAAAGCAGAACAGCGCCAAAAATAATGCCAAGTAGAGTTTCATTTTTACTGTCCTGACGAATAAACAAAAAAGAGATATGCTGATTCAGTTACATTTATTGTCTAAAGTAGGTCTTGTTGAAATAAAAATTAATTCTTTTTGAGCTGATTTTAAAAAGAAACTAAGGATTAACTAGTTAACTAACAAATAAAAAAAAACACTGAAATGTATTTCCATGCTAATTGCTGAATAAATACCTTCGAATAAATCTTTAGTAGCACTGTTGTCTCTCAGTCCTTCAGTATTTTGGATTTGTCAGATACAGAATGATAAACAGACGCAAACCACTCCCTTGACGAAGAAGATTTTCAGTTTAATACACTAATGGGGAATAAATAATGAATGATCATTTCAAGATGCATCTGATTAGTGCCTATCAGTTGGAATAGACAACCTATCCACGGTCAGTGTTATAAGTTAAGCGTCTTCTCACTGATTCATATTCTAAACAGAAGAAAACTCTATTATTATCAAATGATCTTTTTGTTCAAAGCAAAACAGAAATGCATACGTAATCCTTTGGACAAGCAGTCAAGTTCTTGCACAGTCTATTCTTTTAAGGTCTTCATTCTTCTAAGACTTGCTCAGTAACCCGATTACTTATCAAAATGAGAGGAGAAAGTTAAAGGTTTTTGGGAAGTCTTGACGAGACCTAAAAACGACTCCTGAGAGAATGGATATGGCTTTCTTCACACCGAATAGTAATCTCTGATACTTATACATCCTTCTGTAAATGTTGATGGCCAAAATTGGTTTCATCGAACGACCCCACTTATACACGTAAATAAGCACCAGATGAATCTAACTTTGTGTAATACTTTCCACCATTTAACTTGACAAAAATGTCGTCTGGTGTTGACAGTGAATATGAATGGTCTTCCAAAACATTGTTCAAACCAGTGGAGAAATCTGCACAGATGTGTAGTACCCTGCTTACCTTCTATATCGTAACAATAGGCTCTGCTTATGTGGAGATCATCAGTTTCACAACATTTAAGTTCCCTAATTGGTTTAACTCGCTATAGAGTGGCTCACGAGATCCATATGGAAGTGATTTTTTGGGGGTTATAAAGTGGCATAGCATCATTCTGAAAATATAACTTTGGTTTTCTGCGATGTGAAACAACCCAAAATCTCACTAAATACTGCTTGATGTTTATGGCGGAGAACATTTATCAGGTTATCTACATTTCCATCAATGGTTATTCTAGGAGAAGAACATACTTGGAACCCAAGGGAATAATATAGGCTGTTTTTAGAAGTAAATTCATTTGTATTTCATAGCTTTTATTTTCTTCAGAGTGTTTGCAGACACATGTCGGCGTAGGAAGTCAGAGTCAGGATAATATATATATTGCAGTATGTTATATAATGTACTCATTCTTTTTTTTAGAATGCAGGTTTTTACAACTGATGCCTAATGCCTAGTAATAATAACTATAAATTGTGGTCAAGTTGTAAGTTAGCTATTTCATTATTATTATTCCCATGAGTATCAAATAGAACATACGGCTTCAGCAGGATATTGTCATATCCTCCTGTTCCCTGAAGTCATTTGTATTCTGATGGACGGTTACCCTTAGACCTTCATCTCCTCATTACACTATTCCTCCTGTGTCTTTCTCAGACTCCGAACACGTCATCCTCCATTCGGGTTCACCTTCAGAGCCTGCAGTATGATGTCACGCAATGGTCTTCTCAGCATCTGTCAAATCCATGCGCATCACCGGCGTTATCGTCGAATAAGGTTTATATAAAGCAACAAGAAGACGTAATTTGTCTGAATCGTGTCGTGTATTTGCGCGACACATTTCGAACAGTCTGATCACACACGAACTTGTCATAGGAATTAATATGAAATTAATGAAGAGGTAAGAGGTGAAAAAGTAGACTTAGGTCAAGTTAAAAGGACATATTGAAGGTCAAAATAACAATGAAGACCACTAAACCATATAGCAGAGGTAATAGTACATCTGCTATGCTATCAAAACAAAATTTTACCAAGGAAGGTTTAATGTGATGATAAATTGTTTTTGAACACATAAAGGTGGCTTGAACTTTCTAATTGATAGGGCTTCCACAAACTTTAGGATACGCCCTAAACACGCTTTTATGTCCTGTCTCTATAATATGTTTCGCAATAGAGAAGTTAGGTCTCCTGTTCTCACCGTTAATAGGTTCTGAAGATTCCATTTGTTTCTGAAGCCATTTAGGAATATGCTCTGAAGCCCTTACTTGCAGAGATCAATGGGTCCTCCCTATGTATGTGTGTCCACACGTACATTCAAATTGGTAAATACAGTGGGATGTGACGTCATTTTTCGCATGTTCAAAGGGCTCAGATAGATATAATGGCTTTAGATTCTCTGTTATTATGATATTAGCTGCATAAAAAGTCTTTTTAACAGCAGCGTTCAGTCTTTGTCTAGTTATCAAGCTGCTTTGATGCCCCATATAGGGTAGCTTGATGTACACATCTTTCTTAGGGGCGTGTTGGAGAGTGGGTCTTGGTGTTCTAACCACTTTATATCTGAATAAAGTTTAGCTTTAATATTTTATACGGGTGGGAAAATGATACTGCTTTATATTATATCGTCTTCCTGCTAATATGTAAGTTAAAACTGATTAGTTACACGATGATTACATATTTTAGGAAAAAATGGTGTCTGACAACTATTTATCTGTACAAAAAACACCTAATATCATATTTAAAACAACTGGAGGTTTCACATGAATTAAAATTATTTCAAGCAGTAATTTTGTCAGTGAGACTTACAATGACTGGAATTGTGTTTATTGTTGGTATTGTTCAGAAAAGCGAAAAGTTTATAACTTAGATAAAAGTCAATCAGAACACATACTTAAACCCTGAAAATGAAACATTTCATGCCAATCTACGATATGATGCGACTTAGACCTTCACAAATATATCCAATTAGTTGTATTTAAGTGAATTTTAATTACACACTTGTTGAGAACAATTTAAATGTTACACAATAAACAACATTATTTTGACGTGATTTAATGAGCAGGTGAATGTCGCCCACTTTTTTCCAAACCAAATGACTCACACCAACTCAAAGAAATTTAAGAAAATTTGAAGTAAAAAGTGAATTTAGCGAAGACAAAGTCTTCAGATGAAGTGAAATTAAATGCGCGTAGTCAACGTTTTAATAAATTTCACACACCTAGTTAGTACTGGTGATGCTACATAGTTTAGCATAAGTTTCTGCACAATCAGCCATTGAATTTTACTTATGAAAGAAGCCACCGCACATACGGAGCAACACTATTTATAGTACTATAGATAAGATTAATTATTTTGTTAGTTCTGTCTGTTCGACTAACAGACTTCATTCGTAGTTTATTACTTTAATCAAATCATTTCATGCACTAGAATTTTGAAATCAATGTGAATGAACTAATTCTATTTATTTTCGTTTATTCGATATTTAATTAAATACGACAAGTGAATTCAAAAACTACTATTTGTTTTGACAAATACTGTTCTGATTCATTTTGATTCACATCAATTTTCCTAGATATATGTATGTATGACAAGTATCAGTAATGAAGTACGAAATTAAATTGGAAACCACAACAATAAAATCATGGGGAAAATTTGATTTGCATATAATATAGCAATGAATGGTTTTCTAACAGTGATTGAAGCACAACACTTGCTAGTTAGTTAAAGTGAAAAAGCATACTACTCTAAAGCCAGATGCTTCACATCGTCAAAATGCCTTCATCGTTTCTATGGTTTCATCTGCTTATAAAACTTTTCTCCCAAATGATATATAATCAATCTTGGAACAACAAAGCACATGGAAAAAAACGAACTTAACGAGTAGTTAGTTTGAGATCTACTTTCTAAACTATTAAGTTTCATATCTGTAAAGAGCTTTTATGATCGAAAGTGTTTGTTTGTTCTCATTGTCTTCTCACCTTTGATTAATGATTTACTGAAATATGTGAAAGACTCAAATTGTTTTTTCGTATTCAACGTTAAACAAATTACACTAAAAAAAACAAAGCCAATGCAAAAACTGTTTCGAATAAATAAATAAATGAATAATCAAAACATTAGGGAATATATTATCCCATAATTTACATAAAAAGCTGAAAACATTATTTTCATTTATTAAGTTACAGAATTAAGGAACTACATTTAATGCGGATAATGTGGTGAGTTTACGATTGTTTGTCTCTCTGATAAATAGATTTCCCTATGAGAATTACAGCACCTCAAGAATCAGTAAAAGCAAGCAGTTCTTTCTGGTTTAGAACAATCCAACAAAAGGTATATGAATTGGTTTTAATGCTGTAGGAAATTAACAGTTAAAATCTTAAAGTTAGAAGTTATACTGGAGGTGCCGTATCCAATGAAAATGAATGCAATGCAAAGTCATGGATGTACACAGTAAAGGTATCATGATGAATGATATCTATCCAGTGTTTCTGGTCTTTATTATTTCCCCTACTGACGTCAATCCATAATGAATGTTTTGATGTGTGATGGTAAGAATAACCAAAATAATCACCTAGATTATCTGTCTGTGGTGTTATGTAATTCGTAAGAGTGAATATTACTAGTTTTCTATATTTGTGATTAATATTGTATACTATTTAAAAACCAGTCAGTCCTTGGAAACTTTAGATCAATAAAACTACATTCTAATATGCATTAAAGAGGGAACTTCATGGCTTCTGTAGTATTTAGTTGAACCTACAGTGTTAAAATTACACCTTGATAACTGTTGTTTTTTTTCCTTCACGTTCCCAGTGGAACATTAGACTTCAAGCTAGTGGCTTGAAGTTTCTGTAATAGAATGGGGTGGCAAGCCTCACGCCCAACATTTCCTCTTTACCAGACCTATTACTGGCTTAGCGAGGTAAAGGAGTGCGTCAACCGGTGATCGAACCTTGGACCATGTGCATGGTCGGCGAGCGTCCTAACCGCTATGCCACCGACGCACCTAATAACTGTTGCTATAGGAAATAATTGGATTT